CACACACACACACACACACACCCATTTTCCCCAGCAGGTTGCTGAGCATTGGCCAGCACACTGCCGCAGAGTGTTAAGGGAGAGGAAAAGGCCATCAACAAACATGGTTAATGTATCTGTTCAGGTGAGCTCATGCACCATGCCTGACCAAATTGGTACAGGTGCGTTCAGAACAAAAGGAACAGAGAACAAAAGGTCACCTTCGAAGCCAGGCACAAACTTTCCCGTGTCCTTTTTATCCATAGTCTCCCGTGAAGACTATGGATAAACATCCTTGATAGGAGTTAATTAAAATTGCATACCTAGCTACCAAAACTGTTCTGAAAATAAGCCTGAGGAAAACAGATTGGATTTAAAAACATCATCACAACTTATTTCATGTTAGAGAAATGAACTTTATTTTAATTAACTTAGGCTCAAACTTTTGAAAAAAAAATATTTAACATACACAAAAGGTACCATGACCCTGGAGACACTGGGGAATAAGAAAGGAGTCTGGTAAAGCATATTCATTTTACATGGCAATGCAAATTTGAAGTAAGGAAATCATTGGAAGTTAGAGATTTCATCCATCACAACAACATAGCTTGGTTTTAACTTTTAAAGGTTAAGTAAGTCACAATACATTTATTAAAGTATCTTATTACTTTGCATGGTTTTAATTTTAGAAGATTCTAGAATTCTTTTTGTCTGCATCCCATTCAGCTTTCTTATAAACACACACACACACACACACACACATACACACTCACACACACACGTGGTTGAGAGAAAATGGAGATGTGTACCATCAACAATAACAACAGTGAAAGAGTTCAATTGCCTGATCACATTTAATGCACAGCCTGCTTTTGCACAATACTCAGTGCAGGCTCTACGTGAGACCAGCCAGGAGCTTGCTAAGTGTCTCTCACGTATAAATTTCAAAGGCTCCGCTTGAGCAGCAGGTCCCAGTCACAAGCTGGGCCTGCCGGTCCTTTTGCCTTTAGCTACTGTTTAACACCAGCTGTTCTTTCTGGGCCTCCCCCTTCTGTACCTCCTCCAGGTCTCATTTTAAAAACCTACCCCACAGATACCCAACTCAATCCTTTTGGGTTGCCTTGGCAACCCTCAAGACAGGATAGCTCCCAGCTTCCCGGCCTCGTCCCACCACTTCCCTCCTTGCACTACGGTAACTCAAGCCTTTTCTGAACGGTCAGCTGTTCCTCAGAACCTCAGTCAGGATGGAGCTCACCCTCGTTACCTTTACAGGTCTCCAGGGGGCATTTCCTTTGTGGATCCCCAGGATATCTCTTGCTCCAAGGTCCCTTTCTCTGACTCTAGAAAGCAGGGCAGAAGCTGTACATCTCCTCTTCCTTCTTCCCTCCATAGTCAACCTTACCTTGAACGTTTACTTCTATAGATTGTCATTTGACAGGGTCCCTTGGTGGGCAGTCATTACTGGCTTTCCAAGCTTTCTGTGGTCCTCAGATGAGAATTAAAATGTTCGTGTTCTAAGCAAAATATCCCTGTGTATGCAGTGCTTGCAAAGCACACAGGGATAGGTCATTGTTTGTAGGTTGAGAGAAGCAAGTCACCTCTGGCCACTCTTTCACCCAAGACTTCCTCCCACACAGAGGTGGCACGACTGCCAAACAAGATCAATTCAAGTCACTTAGCCTGGCTGAGGAGACTCTCCAGAGGGACTTACCTGCTTCTTCATGTCTGAAGAAAGCTGTGTTTACTTAGAAAAAATTAGGCAATGACAAATTCTTGTCATTGGAATTAGACAGGTTCTCTTTTAAAAATCTACCTGTAGTCATAGAAATCCGTGTAACACAATAAGACATGGAGCAGCTAAGCATTTTTTTAATTAATTGTATAAAATGTATGAATTAATTAAGCAGTTAACACCACTCTAAAGAGGGCAGCAGGTAAGAAGACACAATTTTGAACTGACTTCACTGTCTTACATAAGGAAATTGAATTTGATTTGTAATGAGTAATTTATGCGAAATTAAGCCAATAGTTTGCTTCTTATATATTTACAATGAATGTAAAAGCAAGGCAATAGACATAAAATTGAGATCAAGAAATAATTCACACGTGCAGCCTGATGAAGGAGAAGGATTCCACAAGCACTGATTCAATTTGGAAGGGCCATTCTTGGGCTCATGCACCATCATGACAGCTGAGTTTGCCTCTCCCAATCCCAGGGACTTGTGAATTCACATGGTGAAACAAATTTGTTTCCATACTGACCTGGCAAATGAGCATACAGGAAAACTGAAACCACTGTCTGCAGCAATAGTTTCAGCTGCTGGGAGCATTTTGCAGTGAAAAACTAGTTTCTCTCTTGTATTTCTCTTCCTTCAAAATATGTGTACACTACACATTTATACCAGGCTGAGCAAAAGTGGTCCAATCCATGTTGACTGCTTACAGTAACTTTAGAGATAAGCAACCAAACCCACAATTTGTAAGCCTTTGAAGAACTGAACACTTCATAATTTGGTCACACTCTTAACAACCTAAAAAAGAACGGAACTAAGATGGGTTCCACCAAAAGCTGTTCTCACACAGTGTTTGCTCATTTGTTTTTGAATCCAGAAGCCCATGAACACGTAGATAATATTTTAAAGTGTGTCCCTGATCTGAGAGGTGGACATACAGCCAAAAGTCATTAACCTGAGAAAATAATTAAACATGGACCTTAACCATAAAGACTGTCCAGTCCATATGCTAACTCAATCACATACTTCAATCTATTGCCTTAATCTTTCAAAGCATGCGGTGTTGCTGGAATTTCCCTGGATAGTAAACAGCCTCCACATGCTACTACATTTTTTTGGTGTATGTTTTCTGTGTGCAGATGGTGCTGGGGAACCTACCCAGGGCCTCAGACACCCTTAGCCAACACCACCAGGAAACTACACATTCAGCCTGTGCGCCACCATAGACTCTTGCAAGAGATCTGACAGCCTGCAACCGTGGTCCTAGAGCCACTCAGCATTGCTGAAGAACATTTGGTTGTATTTTTTAGGTAAATATAATTATCCCCTATTCCTTTTTTATGCAATTGTAATTACCAGAACAGATTTCTGTGGAAATAAAAAATAAAGTTGATTGTTTCTTTATCAGCTGCCTCATAAATGTCTCATTATATTCTGAAGTCTACCTACTTGTTCATAAGACTGATTTACTGCCCCAAACTCTTCTCAGGGTCCCACTCCAGTCACTGGGTCCATAATTTTTCCTTGATAGGCTTCCAGTGAGGGGCGGGGGGTGGTGTTTGTCTCTGGGGCAGCTCAGCAGGAACACTCAGCCTTCACTTTGAAAGGTGGTGAGAAGCCTTGCTGCTCCCACTGGTGCTTCTGTGAAGGAAAAGAGTTTTATTAAATAAAAGAAAATAAGTAAACTCTTTTGTATTTATTGAAAACACTATCTAATTTAGCCTAGAACAGCTCGTGGAGGACATACACAAAAGACTTTGAAACTTTATGATGTTCAGAGATATGAGCCCATATCATTAGGAACTAGCATTGTCCTCACTTATGTCCCCAAATTCATAAAAATCCTTGCAGACAATGGAAAAAATATACACGTTTGTCTCCCAGTGCTTCAGTGAAAGCACTCAGGTAATTAAACACTGAAATTCTGGTGGGATTTCTTTTATCAAAGTAAATTAACCTTACAAAACAGTCTTCTGGGACTTGGAGGACGTTTCAGTTCTGCTAATGAGACCGTGTCTTCGCATTTACACAGAGTTGCTTTCATCTTGTCTTCCCACCTCTGCGTCTCTGGCCCGTGGAGAGCCACGGTCCTTGCTCCATCTTCTTGCAGTCCCGGATCAGATTGCACAGCGAGACCCGTCACCTGTCCTGCTCGCAGCCTGAGGGACCTCTTCTCGTCAGCTCACCTTCTCTTCCTGGCTGGTGACAGCAGCTACTCTGCACTGCTGTGTGTCCAAGGCCTCCTGTGCACATGGTTCACCTGGCACTCAGAGGAATCCTAAGAATTGTCAACCATGTCATGACTTTTCCTCTGCTGGAAAGGGCCTCCTTTCCACTTTAAAACAAACTCCAAGTTCTGGCCCATGGTCATCCAAGCCTGGCTCTGCCCGCCTCTCCAAGTAGCCTCTTACCCACCCAAGGTGCTTGGGAGGCTCAGGCACAGGGGATTTCCTACTGTTCCTCTCTGGCTAGGAACTCCTGGGCCTCAGGACCCTTACCCTGATCCTCTCTCAGCCAGGAAGGCTCTACCCTATATCTTCTCATGACCATACCTCTTCATTCATGTCTCAGCTCAAATGTCACCTTCTAAGAGTACTTGAACACCTTCTGTATCTCCCCCTGATCACCCTGATGAACTTCTCACATAACACTGGTTATTATAAATGTTATCTCTTGTTCTCATCGAATGCTTCCTCCCTGAAATGACCAGTTACTGAGCACTTGGACTTTGCTTTTTCCACTGCTGTATTCTTTCTTCACAGTGTTTGCTACATAGAAAGCATTCAAGGAATGTTTGTTGATTGAATAAGTGAATGGAAAGTACTTACTCTTTCAGAGATGGATTCAGTTCTTAAAGTCCCACTAACTAATGTTTCCTGTTCACTAATATTTGCTCTTATCTACCTTATCTTTATTTATTAAGGGGAAAAAAAGTTACTTTTAGATAAGAGCAAATATTAGTGAACAGTTTCCTGTTCACTAATATTTGCTCTTATCTACCTTATCTTTATTTATTAAGGGGAAAAAAAGTTACTTTGATTTTCTCTGAAACCCTTGTTGGAAATAATGAAAGAATTCAGAAAAACCTACTTGATTCATAATACGTTACCAACTATTGCAGAATCATAAAGCTACCTAAAAAACAAATCATAAAATTTCTTCAAGTAATAGGTTAATTTCCATGTGCAAATAAGTCCGCAGGTTAAAAGTTCCCACTAATAGGAAAGAGTTTGCAAATATCTTCCTTTGATACTGGCTTTCCAGCCTTTCCCCTCTTTAGTAGTTTAAAATCAATAATTATGTCATTTGTCATCACTAAGAATGTTCTTAACCAGGACTCTATTAGTCATAAGCCCATCTAAAAATTGATGAATGTCAGTCACCAACAATTCTGGTGACATTTTTCTGCACTGCTCTCAGCAGGGACCATCTATAAATCCTAGAGGTCTCAGGAAGCCCCAGGTGACTATTGTATTTCCCTGATGACAAAAAGCTGATCAGAGTTCTAGGCAGCTGAAGGCTTATTTTTCCTTCATCTGAATTGATTTCGTCTGTTATTGTGAACTTAAATCAAAGCACTTTTAATGGGGTTTCCAACACAGTCACTATTGTAGACAGAATATACAGAAAACGATCTGGGGTAGCTTAATAACTGAAGTATATACGATCTTATGGGCCTCGAATGCTTAAATTAAGAATTTAAGTTGAGGGGCTGGGGGTGCAGCTCAGTGGCAGCGGCTTGCCTGGTATCTTAGTAGGCAGGAGGCCCTGGGTTCCTTCCCCAGTATTGAAAAAAGAAGAAGAATTAAAAATTGTGATAATAATAATGACAATGACAATAAGCTAGAGTGATGCTAGTTTACTTGGGGGGCTATTAGGAAGCAAATGTTCTAATTTAGTGGTCAAGTGCTTCCTTCTTCCTTAGTCATGTTTTTGGCCCTTGGTCACATTGATGAGCAAGTATCCCTGATGCCTAGAAATATATTCTTTTTCATCAGGGCATTCCAGCATGAAAACATAGATAATCACTTCCCCAAATGTGTTCTGCGGAACGCCACCTCAGAACGTCAAAAGTTACTTTGCTAATAATAATGAAAGCAAAAATGTTTTGATCAGTAAGCTAAGAATTATCAGGCTAATAAAAATTTAGCTCCTTTGTGGAAAGACTTCTCAGAGCCGTAGATACACTGAAGTGAACCATACGTCTCCAAGAAGAATTCAGTACAAGTGTCCTGAATCCGCTGACCTTGAGCCATTACTTTAAGGAGAGTCTTTTGGACGAGAATTCTGAGAAAAGCTTCCGCAGTTCCCTTCAGCAATGCCCATATCTGCAGTGTCTCTTTTCATGGTTGGTTACTTGTGCTCAACCACAAGTCAAAAATGGTGAACAGAAAATTCCAGAAGTAAACAATTCATAAGTTTTAAATTGTGCACTCTTCGGAGTGCTGGGATGAACTCTCTCCCTGGCCAACTCTAGCCCTCCTGGGACATGAGTCATTCTCTTCCCAGTGTACCCACAGTGTGTGTGCCACCCACTCATTACTCTCTCGTTTGCCTGCTGGTTCATTAGATCGACTGTCACAGTGTCACGGTGCTTGTGTTCAAGTAAACCTCATCTTACTTAGTAATGGCCCTGGAGAGCAAGAGTAGAGATGCTGGCAGCTGGAATTGTGCCAGAGGAGCCATAGGGTGCTGTTTCCCCCAAAGTGAAAAGGAGAAAGTGAAACAAGATGTTGAGAGAGAGAGAGGGAGGCCCTAGTATAATTCATTGCAACATCTTGATAGGATGGTTCTATTTCATTATTAGTTATTGTTTTTGTTACCACCTAATTCGTAAATTAAGCTTTATCACAGATGTGTACCTATAGGATAAAGCATAGTATACATAGGGTCCATCCTATCTGCAGTTTCAGGAATGCCCTCAGGGTCTTGGAACATACCTCTGTGGATAAGGTGGACACTGTCTGTATCTGCAAACTTTTGAGCTTTGCTTTGACCCTCCCTTTAGGGCAGACCGCACAGCCTTCCTGTAGACTTAATGGACAAATTTCTCTGCAGAACTGCTGTGGTCAAGCTCATCTCTTCTGTCTTCTGCTTGAACTTGGAAATTTCAAAGCTTAATGTTCACGTTCGCTGTTCAACACTTTCCGTTATTAACCAGTAACTCAGCTTTGTGGACCTGTGACCTTAGTGTGAAAATCCAGAGGACCTTTGTGCATTTACCTCTTCGATCTCTTTGGGGCACTTGATGCTTCTGATCACTCAGTTCTGATCTGAAGTTGTTAAATGTCTGGTTGCTCCACTACCTCATCTCTTATTTTTCAGTACAATCCCTTTTCTCTGCTCACTCCTCATGTTTTTCCCGTATTTTTTTGTTGTTGTTGTTAGCCTTCTTTTCTTCCTTAAATCCTGTCTATTTTATCTCATCATACTTGTGGTTTCAAATGGTGTGAGAGACCAATGGCTCATGAAGCTACAACTTTAACTGAGTTTTCCATGACAACCAAGTGTCAACAAAATCTCTCTGCTTGAGTGTGTAACCTCCAGTTAGTTATCAGCCCTCTTCACTCCGGTGTCCACAGGAACCTCAAATTCAATTTGCCAAAAACAATGTATTGATTATCTCCACACTTTCCTCTAAACATCCTACTTCCTGGTAGTCCTTATCCTCAGTGTCGAGTCACAGAAATGATCATGGTCCACAGTGTGATGTGGTGGGAAAGCACTCAGCTCAGAGGGGGATTAAGAGAGTGTGCGCTGTGTGGCTGCATGACCAGCACTCACGCTTGTGCAAGCCTGGGAGGGTCAGTCACTGTTCTGGACCTTCGATCCCTTCTGTCCAAGGCACGAACTCAGCGGATGCTGCTTTGTTACAGACTTTCACTATGTGACACTTCCCTCCATTCAGCGAAGACGTTACTCTTAGGTCATTGGCGGTTCCTCCTTCCTCCAACTCTGTCCCTTAGTGGATTAATCCACTTGAATTACCCTTCCCACATCCTTGCCACTCAATTCTTGGAATTCCTGTGCTCCATTTGTCATGTCCTTTGTACCTCATCAGCCACTGGCTCACATGATCAAATTTTAGATCTTGTTCCTACAAAGGAAGCGACCCCCTGAACCCTCCATTCCAAGTCCTCCTTCAAGCATCTCACCCCCTCAATCCTCAACTACACCAGACGTACACTCAACTACACAGTCCACTGATGGATACCTGCACTCTGACTCTCCATTCTCCCCTGCCATCACTTACCTACATCTCACCTGAAAAGGTTCAATTCCATGGCCAAAGTCTAATGGTACTCCCTTGCTACACCCTCAAACTTTTTTACCCTGACTTTTTTTACTCACTAGGGAAAACACCCACTCTGTTTAAATCCCAAACCATAGCAGTTTTAAATATATGTGGGAATGGCTGGAGGAAAAGTACAATTATACAATACGTTAATTGTCGGCCAGATGTGGTGGTGCACATCTGTAATCCCAGTTCCTTGGGAGGCTGACATAGGAGAATTGCAAGTTCAAGGTCAGTCTGGGAAATTTAGCAAGACACTGTCTCAAATTAAAAAATAAAAATTGAATAAACATATATATCACATATCACATATATATGTATATATCATATATCTTCCCTCACAGGAATGTTAGCCTCAGGAAGGCAAAGTTTTCTTTTTCTCTTTCATTTACTAATATGTCCCCAGTACCTAAGGCAGCTCCTGTCATACAGCAAGCGCTTAATAAATGTTTGTTGCACCAGTAATGAAGCATATGTTCTCATAGTTCCCACATAATTTCATTGGCTCCACTCGTGAATATGATTCCCATTACTTCCACTAAAAAGAACCCATGCATTATGGAAGAAGCTGGCCCAACTTTCAAAATGATAAATTAGCAAACACTTCATGTTTATCTTTTCGGCAGCCCTTAGCGTATTTGCAAATTATTGAATCCAAAGTTAATATTTTCACTTTGACTATGGAGCTTTTATATAAAATGTGATGATTTGGAGGAACCGTGGCATTTTTCTGCCTTGAAGCGTTGAAATAATTATATCTTTAACTAATTCATTATTGCAAAAAGGGAAGTTTAGACTGGAGTGTTACAATGTTGGTGTTTTAATGATGAGAAAGGGCCAGCAAGGCTCCAGTATCCATAGCAACACGAAGTTCTTCTTTTCATCTTTTAAGTGACCAAAGATGACTATTTCTTCTTGTTATATTACTAGATCAAAATTTATCACACTGGAAAAGAGTGCGTGCTGGCTTCCAAGTGCAGGGCGATAATTATCACCAAAGCAGATCCAACCACCACCTAACACCCCAGGAAAGTGGCCTCACCCCAAATAAGGAAATTTCCAGCTCCTACTACTCAGAAATGCAGGGATTAAGAGCAAGACCTAAAGTACAGCACCAGTGTTCAAATAAAACTTTCAGCCAGATTGAGAAGAATCACAACTATGATGTGTAAATTTATGATTTAAAAGTGCCATCAGATCTTGGGCCACTGGATGAGACGCAGTGAGACCTAGGCAAGTCTAGAAATAAAGCCCCATTGAGATAAGACAGAATTTCTTTAGGTGTCAAGATTTACAAAATGAGAAATTATACCCCATTTGATTCAAATGTATGATATGTCAAGATCATTGTACTGTCATGTGTAACTAATAAAAATAAATAAATAAATAAACAAATAAACAAATAAAAGATTTACAAATGGACAGTGAGAGAGAGAGAGAGAGATGACCATGACAGAGGTGGAGAAAGATCTAAGGACAATACAGCAAAATACCAGGCTATGGGTGATAGGATAAAAAAGGTTGTACTATTCCCAATATTTCTCTGCACACTTGCAGTATCACAGAATTAAAATAACATTAAGATTTAAAAGAGAGATATCATAAGATGGACTTAGAGGAAATGAGATGATAAATTGCAAACTTAAGTGCTTAAAAATAACCTAATTTCTTCTTAAACCATCTTTGCAGAGTGTGATTTGGCTTTTTAACTGACAAATGATTGGGGAAAAATTCTTCAAGTAACCCAGCCTTCAAGTGCTATTTTCTTCTAAAATTTATGTTCACCTATTTATAAACTTCATTTATCTATGTCTCAACTAGTTCTTTGGTATTATTGGCCTTATACTGTGGACAACTATGTCTGATTTTCTAGGAACTGGTAGTAGATTGATTTTTATTTTATTTCCAAGAGAAGACTCATCAAACTTGCAGTTTCCTTCTGCCAAAATAATAATAGTATCAACATTAATAATTATAACAGTAGCCGCTGCCACACATGCTAAGTGCTATCCTAATTATATTTTAATTTACTTGATCCTCATGTCAAACTTAAAATTAGATACTATTAACGTCTTCTTTTTTTTTAACCAATAATAACACTTAGTTACAGAGACATTAGAAATGTATCCAGGGGCATAGCAACCCCAGGATTTGTGCCCTTAAATGTGACTCCACACCACCTCTTGATCTTGGCTTTCAGAAGCCAAGGAGCTTCTATTAATCATAAGCTGTGATTTGCTCATGCTGTAAATAGCTCTTCTTTGGAGTTTAGGGGACAAGACAGATTCCATCCCTAATGCCAGGAAAAAGGGTGGTTGAATAACTAGACTCAAGATAAGCAAAGGAACTCATATAATTAATCCAGGGTAAAAAATATATATATAGTACAGTTCTCATTTTACATTAAAAATATGTATCTCAGTGATCATTTCCTGCAGTTTCTGGGTTTTGAGTAAATGTGGTATTCTGGTGAAGATTACATGATGCCGTGTCACCCAAACAAAGGTGTCCAGATAGCAAGTGCTCCTGAAATGCTTTAAGATCTGAGGGCTCTTCATGAGTATTGTGACATTGTTGCAAAAAATAAATTGTTGATGCTGTAATTTCCTGTTTCTGTGCTATTTAAAAAAAGGCAGTTTGTAAACATTCATATACAGTTTACCTGAACACACATCTTCAGGGCTTCTATTGACAAGTCTTGTTGTTGTTGTTGTTGTTGTTGTTGTTGTCACATATGAGCTTTTCTCCTATCCTTGTTTGACAGTAGCAGAAGTCATGGCCACCTGCTTCCTTTGTGCTTTGTCTTCAATAGCTTTCTCCTGTCCTGATTTTAAATTATTCCCTTTGAACTCGCTGTCATGGAATTCAGATTCTCTCTAAAGTTACCATAGAATGAAAAAAAAAAATGAGAGAAGGCAAAAAATAATAGATGGAAAAAAAAAACAAAAAATTAGTATCCGAAAAAAAAATAGAAGGGTTAGTAAAGTGAAAAACATGTTAAGTACAGTCAATTCTTCTTGTAACAGAGCAAGAATAATTCGAAAATTCCAAAAGTCTTCAGGGTAGTGCCATTTGCCACAATTATTTCCTGAATATGAACACATGTGCTAACAGCCAGACTCCTAGTTTTAATAAGGTTAGATTCTTCCCACTTCCCTCTCAGAAATCTCCCAAAACCCACAAGGAGAACAAGTAACAACATGCAAACTCCGCGTCTGATATGAGTGGAAGGGCAACCAGAAACTGTGAAGGTCAAACAGGCCCAGAGAGGAGGAAGATTTCTACAGGCTCAGGAAACGGTGGCAGAGGAAGGGTACTCATAAAGACAAAAGTGGCTGTGGTTTCAAACAAGCACAGTGAGGAGGTCATGACATCAGAAACATGGCAGGGGTCAGGTGTGGATGCTTCTGGAGTACCCTCAGTGTGGCTCTGGGGAGCACACGGAGCAGGGCCGAGTGACATGGCATATCTGCAGGAGATTCACCACTTGTAAGTGGAGAACAGCAGAGACAGGCTTGCTGCCAGCCCTGCCCTGCTAATCCTGGTTGGGCCTTTAGGAGAAAAACCCCAAAAGAATTCACATGCTGAGTTATTCAGGCAATTTCTCCTGCCATGAAATAATGATTTGGCCCCTCCCTTCCATGACCTTCTTGCAAATACCTGAGGTAGGAAGAAACCACTTAATTTCATGATAAATAAAAATTAGAAAGGATCCAACACAGACATACACAAAATAATGTATGAAAACCAGAAGGACAGGAACACCAAAAATAAATACAACATAAAGGAATTAGAAAAAATATAGACTTGTAGGAAACAGATTTAAAATGTAATCATCTACTCCTCCCATGCTCCCCCTCCTTACCCCACTATGAGTCAGCCTCCTTATATCAATGTCATAGACATCAGCATCCAAAGTACATGTATGAAGACACGAATTGGTGTCAACATATTTTATATACCACCAGAGATACGAAAAATCGTAAGTATACATGTAATAAGAATTGTAATGCATTCATTTATTTTTAAAAAAATTTTTTTTAAATATCAATAAAGGGGGAAAAGTATTGTTTGCTAATAAACAATAATGACTTTGGGGGATAAAATGTAACCAAACTAATTGGTGCAATCTTTCTTTTAAGTTAGAGAGACAAAAGGAGACCACACATGAGCTGGCAGAATGCAAGATAGAAAAGATGAAAACACTACAGAAATTGCACCAGGAAACATATAGGAAATCAGGGGCAGACCCAAGAAAGCCATTAGGAACAGGACCAAGGAGAGCAAAATACATACAGAGAACAGAGATTCAAAACACTTCAGGGGTTGGGAGTGTCATTCGGTGGTAATGCCTTTGCCTGACATGCGTGAGACTGTGGGCTCCAACTCCATCATCCCCAAACACAAAAACAAATAAACAAACAAAACTACTTTTGAAGGAAAAGGGTGAATATGGGGAATAGGGACATAGGCATGCTGTATGCAGAACTTGTGTTCTCAGAAAAAGTAAGTAGTGAAAGACAACAAATCATGGTTTAAGAAAAAATTTCAGAAGGGTAAGTTTCTAACTGAACAGAAACACTGTACCCCAACTCAAAACAAAAGGCAAAGAATAGAAAACTTTGAGATATACTCTAGTCAAGTGTTGGGATTCTAAACCAAAGCCCCCGTCCCTTGAAGGTCCAAGTATAATAATTAACCACCTCCTCCTAATGAGAAATAAGCAGGCTAGCCACACATACTACAAAACACATTCCGTTTTTTAGTAACATTAGAGAAGTACCTTCAAAGGCCCCAAAGAGAATGTGATCCAAACACTCTATTCTTAGCCTTCTAGAATGCTCTGCAAGTATCAAGGTCAATGGAAAAAATCTGAATACACAAGAACCCAAGAACCCACTTCCCATCCCAAGACACACCACAACCAACCTAGAGAGGACCCGAGGCCTTGTGGCCAACTGATCCGCAATGAGTTTCAGTTGTCTCATCTATCAGACTAAAACAAACAAAAAGTGGGGGTGATGGCTGCCCAAAAATGTGAAAAACAAAACAAAAACAGCAGGAGCTGGAATCGAAAAAGAAGGGAAGTGAAAGTGCCCTGATTCCCTCGCTCTAAATATCACATCTAGATAAGAGAACCGCATGGATTCAGCATCATGTGATATTAAATGTCAAATATTGGAGATTAAAAACATTCATATTTTACTTAGTAAAATGGCCAAGGGACATATAGAGCAAAATTTGTATTCCCCAATTTATATCCAGAGTCAACTAATATTTATCAGACTTCCATCATGGCTAGACTAATAGCATAATGTCCCCTGAATTCCTCTGAGATGTGCATCTTAACATCTGTTACTCAGATTGTATAACTTCTGTGAAAATACATACTACCAAAAAAATTCCATTTTTAGTAACATTGTAGAAGGCATTATATAGTTGTAGTTCTTGTAATTCTCTGACATATAATTTTCTAAGTATGTTCCCCCTTCCCCCAAAAAAATCACCTAGTGGCAACTATTTTTAACAGTTTAGTGTCTTTCCAAAACTTTTCTATGCTTCTGTTTCCCATAGTTGCAATCAAATTATATCATATTTTATATCATATCATATAATTTTTCCAAGTTACTTGAATCCTTTTTTATTTTTTATTTTTATTGAGATTTTTGGTACCAGGGATTGAACCTAGGGGTACTTAAACACTGAACCACATCCCCAGCCCTTTTTTATATTTTATTTATAGACAGGGTTTCACTAAGTTGCTTAGGGCCTTGCTAAGTTGCTGAAGCTGTCCTTGAACTTTCAATCCTCCTGCCTTATGCTGGGATTACAGGCATGTGCCACTGAGCCCAGCACTTGAATCCTTCTTAAATATCACTTAATAGCTTCATAAAAGCCCAGCCTATAAATGTGTTATCACATCTAAATATTTGAGGTAATGAATACCTCTTAAAATTAAGTGCTTTTCTACATTTGTAATTGTTTATCCTTTTAGAACCTCAGGGATAAGAATATTTGGCCATGATTAATATTTTTAATGCTTTAATACATATTTTCAAATTGTTATGTGATAAACTACATAAAGTATGTAGAATACTTCTAGAAGCTTATAACTCTAAAATAATTTCGTATGATAAAGAGACTAACTTTTGATCCATCTCTTTGTTTTAAGTTATGAATTGTTATGAATTGTCCTATGTGTTTATGCATATACATATATATATACACACATATTCATATATAAACCCATAAATGCATATATATAGGTAGTCTCTTTTTAAATGTATAATGTTCCATTTTAATCATATCTATTAACACTTGTGATTCTAATTTCTTTTAATACTTTCCATCTAATGAAATCTTTCCCAGCTAGATAACTAATATTTTCTATTTCTTCATTTAATATTGTTAAACCACAAGCCTTATATTACTTTTTAATCTCACACACATTAGCTACATTTATCTCTCACTTTCTACTTACATTAATGAGATTTACAATCTAGATGAAACATTGAAGTTATCGAAATTAGTTCAGGATTCTTCAAAATTTGATGCATCTGCCTCAAAGCAAAAACGTTGGAAGAAGTTGCTGGGAGTCAGAGCTGCACCTCCCGGTTGCAGTTGCTGACTCTCAGTTTTGTGTTTTCAATTTTTATTTATTTATTTTTCTGCTCAGCTAAACAATGTCCACCAGGACCACAAGAGAGAACCCTCAGGCAACAGGAAGAGCTTAGGTGGCTCTCAGAAGCTGCAACTTCAGCGCTGCATGGGAGACCCACTCGCTGCTCAGGGATAGCAGGTGAGGTCTTGGGTTCTTTGTCCCATTGGCTGAAGAACAGCCTTGGTAGGAATTAGGAACTCAGAGCATGTCCCGAGCTCCCCTCTCCAGCCACCCACTGTTCCTCTGGGGCTGTCCACAGTCAGGTCCAACTGCAGTGCCCAGAAGCTTCACAGAAAAGAAAACTTCTGTATCTCCAAATGAAGCCCCCAAGTCAGCATTTCCTGAATTAATAGAGGAAGCTGAGAGACAGCCACTGTTGCTACAGGGTGAACTGGCATGGCGACCACAGAGTCCAGGGAGGCAAGCCGGGCTGGAAGGGTGACAACGGAGCCTCTCGAGTGGAGGTGGTTTGTGGGTCTTACCCTACTCTATCACGATTTTGTCAGATGTCTGTGGAACTGTGGTTAATTTATCTGGAAAACACTTGTCTTTTATTTCCAAAAAATCCTACATTTAAATGGAGAGTTGGCTGAGCCTAGCTGTGTGGTAGAGGCCCCAAGTCCAATCCCCAGAACACACACACATACACACACACATGCACACACACACATACACACACACATGCACACACACACACAGGACGAAGAAAAGAAAAAGAAATAGTTAGATTTCTAATAACTTTTCTATGCTCTTGGGCAACAATGCTTTTAGAATTCAAATTAGATCCTCTTTCTAGAAACCACAGTGCAATAGTCAGCACTTCAGAATTAATAGGCATCCATGTGTATATTCTAATGAATAATATTTATATGGATATAGTTAAAATTAGCAACCAAAAACCTTGAGCATGGTCTCCGTTGCTTGAGAGCACCACGCTGACCATATTTTATCTAGGTTCTATTACATGAGACTACTTAACTCATTTATTAAACAAACACTTGCTGAGCATGCACTGTGGGTCATGGATTCCAACCACATCACTGAATAAACAAACAAAGCGTTTGCCCTCCATCCTCGTAAAGGAACTGCTCTGTGTTTTTACTGTGGTGTCAGTCACATGAATGACTCTTGAGATAAAACTCCATGCAACAAAAACACACGGAGGAGAGCTTGTAAATCCAGTGAACCTGTGTAGCCTGGAAGGACT